TACTACTTATACAGTATTATACAATAATACTGTTCCGGATTACATACAAATTTGACTTAAGGACAGACCTTGAGAACAGAACTCATTCTTCAACTGGGGACTACCTGTATAAAAAAGACCAAACTAATGACAATAGGTAGAACAGTCTGCCTTAGAATTGGCCTTGAAAATAGTAAAGTGGTGGATAACTTCTGCCTTTTAGGATCAACCATCAACAATAAAGGAACAAGCAGTCAAGAAATATGCCACAGACTAGCACTTGGTAGAGCAGCCGTGAAGGCCTTGGAAAAGATATTCAGATGTCAGACTTATACCTACAAAAATCAGAATTGTGGTGACACTCTATGGAAGCAAAAGTTAGACTGTGAAGAAACAGGATAGAAAGAGTATTCAATGCCTTTGAAGTTTGGTGTTGGAGAATTCCATAAACATCCAAGAAAACAATCAAATTGATCATCGAACAAATCAACCCATAGTTCTTAACCAAGGCACAAATGACTAGGTGTAAATTATCCTACTTTGGACAAATGTGAAGACCTAGCTCTCTGGAGAAGGCTGTAATGCTGGGAAATATAGAAAGAGAAGAGAAGAGCAATAAGATGCAGCAAGTTAGAATGGTGATGGGTCACCATCAGAAGACCTGAAGGACCAGGTTAGGGACAGGTCATCATGGAGGAAAATCTATGTGGTTGCTAACAGTTGACACCGATTTGATGGCACATAGTCAGTCAATCATATATACAGTATATAACAGCATGCATTGTTATCAATTTTAAATATAACTTATTTTACTGCATGTAATATACTCATTCATAGATGATAGAGCTGTGCAAACCAATCAGATAGCATTTCAGAACACCACCCTTGAAACAAAATGGACTTGTTCTTCTGGTGGCTCATTGCAGCTGCTTAAAAAAACCTTCTGCAGTTGTTTGTCCATGTTTGTGTATGCACAGAAACTATTTCTGTGATTGATACAGAGACAAGCATGCACACGTGACAAAGGATGCAACTTTCTCAGCTCTGCAAAGGTAATACTGTGAGCAAAGCACTCCTCTAAATGGTTTAAGAGAGAAGTGGGGGGGCATAGAGGATAAATGTTTGTAATCACATATGTAGGTACACACATTAATACAATATGAATTACATGCCTTTCTTTTTCAGGGGTACTGAAGATGCAGTGTTGAAAAACCATAGACGTGCACAGAGATTACTAGAAGAAATTCATGCCATGAAGGTAGTGCCATGCCTATTGTAAACAGCTTAAATTGCATACAGTTTAAATTGTACATATATTTTTCAAAGTTTTGGTTTTCAAAGCTTTTTAATTTAAGTAAGCTTGGTTTTAGCTCTTGTATATGCTAGGTTTGTCTATAGCTATTACATCTGAGAAAGCACCAGACTGTAAACTTGATGGGACACAACTGTAAATTTGTATTTTATTGTTTATTGGTATAATTGTCAAGGTGATAGTCACATTTGATTTCAAGAGTTCCAAAGCTACGCTTACAGTTTTTCCAACATTAGTATGTATCTCAGACACAATTCCTGAGGTAAACTGTTTCTGTTAAGTGCTTCTGCTGCTTAAAAGCATGGATGGCCATTATGGTGGGTGACATCATAGTTCTTAGTCTGTTTCTTGCCAGCTCCTTACATTTTTGTGTGGTGCTGTCACTGCTCTAATGCACAAAGCAGCAACTGACAAAGTGGATTGAAACCAAAGCTTTTTTTTCCCCCGTATGTAGGGCATTCATTAGTTTCTGCAAGTCTCTCTTATTTCTTTTACACAGACATGATGGGCCATTAAAAGTCTGGCAAACTCTCAGAGAACATTTTTATAGCAGTGAACTGTTAATCATACAATGTATTTTCTGTGAAAAATATTAAACATCAAAATATAAGAATAATCTTTAAGGTTTACCCATATGATTAAACTGCAGGAATGCTGTTTTCCCCTATTAAGTAGCAAAATATAAGAATAATCTTTGAGGTTTACCCATATGATTAAACTACAGGAATGTTGTTTTGCCCTATTAATGAATGCTTAATTTTGTGTCATAATTAGATTAGCAATATTAATTTAGCTTTATGTACTAATCCTTGCAAATATTTTAAACTGAGAAATTTTAACCGGATTAATTAAGAGTAGATTAAAACAGTTTCTTCGAGGTTGTAGCCTATGAGTTAAAACTGTGTGGAAAAACTTTCAAAACAATTGAAAGGATTTAGTATACTTATCATGCTTTGAAATTTCCTTTTTATATAATTTTATATAATGTTTTCCCACTCAAGCAAAAACAATAGAGAGTGGAGCTTCAAGTCTTTGTCTTTTAGATGCCCTTTCCCCAATTCAACCAATTTTATGTAAGTACATGTAGTCCTCACTTAACGACCCTCATTGGGACTGGAATTTCCATCACTAAGCGATGAAGTCATTAGGTGAAACATAACATGACCACGCCGCTTAACAACAGCAGTTTCAGTAGTCCTGGTTGCAATCGTTAGGCCAGGACTTCACATTTCTCCTGCCCTGCCACACTCGCCTCCGCTTCAGCTTCCCCCATTTGCCTGTCTCTCCACCATCCCTGCTGCCCCGAGCTGCACCACCTCTGGCACTCTGCACTCTGTCCTTCATACATGCTGCCTCCAGCTGACCTTTATTGTCTTCTTCCTCCCATTGCTGTTGAGGTGCACTTGACCCTTTGTGAGGGAGCTGCTGGCCATGTGCAGCCTTCTCAAGTGTCACACAGCCTTCCTCACGCAGCTAGCAGCTGCCTTGCAGAGGGCCAGGCCAGGCGCGCCTCATCGGCAGCAGGAGGAAGAAAACGACAGAGGTCAGTGGGTGGGGGTGCAGGGCAATAGGGTCAGGGGAGCTCAGGGCAGCAAAGTGCAGGGCAGCAGGGGTGGCAGAGCGCGGGACAGCACAAGCAGCAGGGATGGCAGAGTGCAAGGCAGCAGGGATGCAGGGGCAGTAGAGTGCAGGGCAGCAGGGGCAGCAGAATGCACAGCAGCGGCACTGCAGGGCAGAGTGTGCCTCATGATGTTCAAGAAGCCATGGATTCTGATGACTCATACCTTTAATCTCTTTATTTCTGGTTGTTCTCTAGGAAACTCCTTAAATAGAAATACACCAGAAGGAACACTTTCAAGTAGGGAAGTTCCTTTTAAGAAGTCAGGGCTAGATAAAATTGGACTTCATAAGCTGGAACGTCTTATATGAAGGCATTTGGAAGTTAAGCATCTGTTCAATTCTATTTTTCCTTTCTTTCCCCTGTGCCTAATAACCTATCTTAGAGAAGATAAGTGGAAAGTGGCCGAAGAAACATGTGTTCCCCAAATTTTGATGAAGTGTCTTTTTTCCTTTGGAGGTCGTCCAAAACTACCAGGGCCAGAACTGCAATTATATTAAAGTTATTTGGCCCAAGTTATGTCCAGTTAGTGTGATAAATCGCAAATCAGCTGACAGTCATTTGTGAGTATTCCACTGCTCTGTCAGAGCATCCACCAACATTCTGTTCATGTGCTAAAAGACAAATTGTTGATGAATTCTAGTTTCCTGATATGTGCAAACACTTCTTTAAGAAGGAAGTCCTTGTTCATCTTAGGCCAGTGTGGAATTTGAAGCACTCATACTAAAAGATGATTATAGAGAGCATGCCCTTTTGCAAATGGTGGGTGTAACCATTCCTGAAACATTGGGATGCAGTTTGCTACTATTTTTATTGGTAAAAATGCATATGGAGCCCAAATAAATTCTTAAAAATAAAAAGCATCTGCATCTATCTGTCTGTCTCTATTATTTCTGTGCCGCTTCATTTCAGATTGGCTCTGAGCAACTGGTGCTTTGCAGCATGCTAGTTTCAAATATTTCCTTTAAATCAGACAGGATGTCATTTAAAGGCATGATTACATACCAAAAGATGATCTCAGTTGCAAGTAGAATTTAGTATGAAGAGCTATTGAATAATCACTACTTAGAGTACATAGATAAAGATCTAGGCTCTTGAATATTTATGTTGCCCTCAGTTTGCCAGCCGAAAGATATAGTTTGTATTTAACTATATAAAATTTAGTCTTAAAAATAGATTGCACCAAAGTGAGTTGGCGTGAGAGGTCCCTTCCCCTTTATGTTTTATTAAGGAAGAGTAACTGTTGTTGGTAACAATAAGATTTTTATACAATATTTAGCATTACTCATTTAAAACCTGGAAATGCCCTTCTTTGTGAGGAAGCAACATTGTTCAAAATGTGAGCTAAGTGGAGAGAAAAATTGGGTTAATTGTTTGCAGGAGTTCTTGAAGCTATTGGAACAGAAAACTGTTTTCAGTTTCTTCAGACTTCATTTCATCAGAATTGTATGAGACATTTATATTAAAATACCAGGAAGAAACAAAGAACATTATGAACCTAGCTAGTTCTTCATCTAGGAGAAAATGGGTTTTAACAGCATTTGCTTCTAAAATGTTCTCAATTAGATTTCATGGATAATGATTTAAACTATTTTACAGTATATTCCTAAGGTAAAATGTAACATTTAATACCAAAGTGTGACACTGACGAAAACAAAACTTTCTTGTCTATCCCTTAAGTACAATTAAGAAACTGAAAACTAATCATTGTTTCTGTGCAACCCATCTGGAAACAATTATTCTCTCATTATTTTTAACTGAGGTTAAGGAATTTTTCACTATCAGTGTTGATAATGGTACTTAAAGTTGAAAGGTGACATGTATAATCACTGCCTAGAAATTAGAATTTGAAATAGATTAAGTATATACTGCCCGCCTGCAGATTCATTATTACTTTTTTAAGTAAAATCCATGAGTCAAATTCAACTTCTGGTAAATACATGGAGAAATCTATGGAGGGCTTTGGATGTGGTTGATTTTTTTATAAAACAAACAACAAAAAACAACAGTACTTGCCCTTACCTTCTTCTGGGTTATTTACAGTATTTATTTAATGAATTCTCTGTCTAACCTAAAGCCCTGCGAATAGTTCGATCCCCCCCCCCCGGCCCTCCATAATGAATATTATAGTAATTTGGCAAGGTGGATGGATGTGAGCAAATTTTAGGATGCTTTCTAGTGCTACCAATCAAAGGATACTTATTTTAATTTTTTTTGGGGGGGGGGGAGGACAAAAACAGAAGAATTAAAAAATATTATAAAAGGAAGATGACTGTGTCAGACGCCCCCAAACCTTATGAAATTCGAAGAATGAGCCAGGAAGACTGTGGAACAAGGATGCAAATGTAATTGGGAAGCACTGTAATCTCATATTCACCTGGAGATTTATATTGTTCTACATATTTGTCAGCAACACTTTTAGCCAAAAAATAGGGATTTTTTTTCTTTTTAGTAGCCTCTTCACATTAGGCACTAAGCAGAGCTCATATGGTCACAGATACAATAAGCTTGATATTTAAAGTATTTACTAATTTTAGCTTTACCTCACTGAGGTTTCAGATTTTTAAATTTTTTCTTTTATCCCTGAACATATTTATCTTTTGTAGCCACTTTCTCTCTCCTTGCTTATTTTTTTAAGGTTTTGTCTCCAGTTGGCTTTATGTTTCTAGAAGTCAACCATATTTAGGCTGTCATGTGTAGAAATTAAATGGATAAATTAAAGGTAGTTAACATAGTTTGTCAAATGTTCATGCCTTTTGGAGGAGCATCCCCCACCCCAAGAGTCAGTCAGCCTGCCTGCCTTTAAAAATCTGAGGCTTTTTTCTTCAAGTACTGAGTGTGGGAGTGGCTGACCTGCTGGGTGAGTTTCTTCTTTCTTCCAGCACTAATATGTACAGGTAGTCTTCGACTTATGTCCATAATAGGGACTGGAAAATTTGTCATTAAGCAATGCAGTCATTAAGTGAGGTATCATGTGACTGCACTGATTTTATGTCTTTTTTCCGACGGTTGTTAAGCAAATCACGTGGTTAAGTGAATCATACTTGATTCATACCCCATTGATTTTGCTTGTTGGAAGCCAGCTGGGAAGGTCGCAAATGGCA